ACACACACACACACTCTCTCAGCTCATTTTGCGGCGGTAGCGACACCTGCAGCCATTCTCTGTGAACAGGTGACCTGATGTGCGTTTCATTTACAGAGTGATGTCACAGCTCTCTGCAGTGACATCATCACAGACTGCCCGTCCCCGCGAGTTTGAGACTCTAAATGTAGTTTTAGAGTCTCAGTCAGGTGATGGTGAGTTTGAGGGGCTCGGGTATAGAATATGAAAACAAAAATGTGTGTGTGTCTTTACATGTACTCTATTACTCTATGTCTGACCAATCAGTAGCCAGTTTATAACAAGTACCTGATGCAGGGATGGTCAGACTCCTCCTACCTGAGGCCTTGCCCTTGTTGCCATGGTGACCAGTTGTGTCCTCTATTTCTATTGGATGGCTGCAGAGAGAATGAACACTCAGTTCCGCCGCACGCACAGAAGCATCCTTCAGGTTGCTATGGAGACCGAGTATGTGGGCACCATCTGTTGGACGCTGCATCACCTGGGACACACACACAGTTTTAAACTTTTCCGTCACCTCTCACAGATCTGACGACGGCTCATCTTTGAGCTAAATGTGCTACACGCTGTGGCGAGAGCTCCTGATGCAGCAGAGCTTCCTGTCGTACCTCGGCCATGTTGACAACACCCACTGCGAGGGTTTTGTAGCCCAGGATGGTTCGGTTCTTGTACCTCTTCCTCCTCTGCACCATCACATGCAGACGGTTCACATCTCGCTTCAGGAAGTGAAGATACTGCACACACACACAATTTTACATCAGAGACAGGAGCAGTGTGCGATCTGTGTGGTTCCTCATGCTGAGAAGGAGATTTTTGTTAAATGTGCAACCTGCAGAGAGAAAGTGAGCTCCAGGTCTGTTTCCATGAGGCCGTCAGGAGGAAGAAGGTACTCGTTGGATCTCAACGTCCGCTTAGAGCCCTGAGACACAGACCCAGGGTCAGATCGACAGCACAGGTGAGTGTCAGGCCGGCGACTGCCAGAATCTCACCTGGATTTTTACAGCGATGATGACGGAGCTGAGCTCTCTGTCCAGCTCCCTCAGAACCTTCAGCTTCTTCACGGTCAGGATGCAGAGCCTGCAGAGCACAGCAAACAGGAAGCAGCTTCAGTGCCAACACAAACAGCAGCAGGTGTGAACTAGGGCCGCCACAAACGATTATTTTAATAGTCGACTAGTCACCGATTATTTTTGCGATTAGCCAACTAATCAGATCATCATCCATTGGACGTAAAACGTACAGCTTACTGCACAAGCATGCATCACTATCATTAGCTTACAGCTGTAAGTGTTTAAG